AGGTCAAGAGCCAAATTATCTTGTGTTATCATTGTTCCCTTAGTTCTTTCATGGCCAACCTGTGTCTGACCTAACAACCTTATAAAAATCAGGTTTGAGTGCATTGCCTTACAATCTGTAACCTGTAACAGGGTTTCCCAGGCTTCACTGTAACCTGATAGTTTCCATCTGAACATTTGAGAAGTGTATTCATTTAACTGCTGCCATGTTGGAACATACTATTTGGAGTAACCTGGGATCTTGTTCCTATGTACTTTGGCAATACAGTAGGTTGCTCAGATTTGGCTCATAATAAGCAACTCTTGTTATCTTTTAGGTAAGAGTTATGGTTTCCATTGATAACAGGTCTGGACATTTCCAGGAATGTGACTCACTAGTACATATCTAGACATTGGGCAAGTACTGGCAAAATGCTGGAATCATGGATAAGAATGGCCCCGTTGGAAATGAAACATATGACTAGAAATATCTCTTCAATCATTAGGAGTATTATTTCTTTTGCTGGAGCCATTTGGGTCCAAGAATATCCTGTAACTCTTCATCTAGTGTAGTTTTTGTTTGTTTTAGACAAGGAGTGTCATTGAACCTGGAATTTAGTAATTAAGCCAAATTCGAAGGCCAGCATCTCCCAGTAATCCTCCCATTTTTTTCCTTGTGGACGGGATTACAGGCACACGCCATTGGACTCGTGCTGTTCAGGCTATGCATCCTTACCCCATAGCATCGGACCGTAATTACAACTGGTGGGTCCTGAGTGGAGAATTGAGCCAGAACAGAATTGAGACTGAGAGGTCTCAGGCAGCAGTGAGGTCGATGAGAATGGACTCTTGGGAGGCAGCTTTGGTGACAGCTCTTTATTTTATTTTATTTTATTTTTATTTTATTTTATTTTTTGTTTTTTTGAGACAGGGTTTCTCTGTGTAGCCCTGACTGTCCTAGAACTCACTCTGTAGACCAGGCTGGCCTCGAACTCAGAAATTCACCTGCCTCTGCCTCCCAAATGCTGGGATTAAAGGCGTGCGCCACCACTGCCCAGCGAGACAGCTCATTTTAATCAGGGAACCAAGGCTATTTAAACCTTTTGGGCGTGAGTAGGGGATCTGGGGGTGAGTGTACAACGTTGTCTGGGACCAGGGTGCTAGGGATGCCTCATTTGCATAAGGAGGGATTCCAGGTGCTGCTGGGCATGACCTTATAAGGGAAGAGAAGTTTAACCTGGTGTGACCTCCTGTGATAGGGCAAGGTAGGGGGCTATATACCAGGTCTTGTAGATCCTGGGCAGGGAGCATCAATACTACTCCTGCTGATCTCAGGATGAGATGTCCAGGCTTTGGACATGCCCCTTCCCCACTCTTGCTGCAGGCCCCTACTCCCCCATCCCATGGCTCCCTGGCCCCATAGCCTTGGCTGTTGACTTTGTGAACTCAGTCAGGTCCTCATGGCTTGATTACCCCAAAACAGATTGTGATAGATTTATTTTTCATGTTGTGTGTGGTTAAATGCTCCTCAGGTCAAGTGTGAAACTACGAAGATATTTGCTCTTATCAAAATTGAAAAAAAAAAGGTCATATATTAAATTTCCAGCTGGCTTGAATTCAAGCTTTTTGACACGGGTAGCTGGTTACCCTAGGAACTGAGTCTCTTTTCAGATGCACGCTCAGCATTTACCAATTTGTATGCTTCATTCTCTCTCTTGATATCTTAGAACCACACACAAACCTACTAGAATTATAGATGCTTAACAGCTGGACATGATTCAGGAATTTTTTTTGTATTACATGACTGAAGCCCCCACTCAGGAGACCCTTGCTTATCTAAAATTTAGTTCAGGACTCATAACTGCAGCTTTGTAGAACTATTTAGGACTGAGCCTTCCTAGCAACATGGCACATTCAGTTCTTAACTCTTGAGAACTATCAGCTGATTATCCCTACATCCTAGGGAAAGATTTTGCTCAAAAATGGGTAACTAAGAAAGCCTGGAAAACATCTCAAAAAAATGAGGTCAGAATCTTTGGCCTAGGGAAAACATGAGGAATAATAACTGTAGTTACCTAGAATATTGCAGGGCAGGTTTCTCCAGTGCGATGACATTAAAACAATAAATAACCTCAGTAAAGGCCATTTTCTTATCACAGTTCTTTGATTGGTTTAAAACATTTCTTTTAGACTTATTTTTAAAATTGTATGTACTTGTATGTGTTTATGTGGAAGTATGTGTACATGAGTGCAGGTGCCTAGGGAGGCCAGAACAGGGCATTGGACACCAGAACAGCAGTGTATTATTAACCACTGAACTATTTTGTCGTAGTGAGATGAAACAAAATTTTCCTGTTATCCTTGTCAATACATGAAATTAAGACAATTGTTTTGTTGTAACATAATTTTTGCTCTTTAAATAGAAGTCAATACTGTGTGGCTCCCTTGATACATAGTGCTTGCTCAGCACTCACAATCCCCTGGGTTTGATCTCAGCATTACATAAATTAGGCAAGGTTTTACATGTCAATAATCCCAATCCTAGGGGAAGCAGGAAGATCAAGTGTTCAAACCTGGGGCTGGGGAGATGGTTCAGCAGTTCAGAGCAATTACTGCTTTTCCAGAGTTCCTGGGTTCCACTCTCAGCATCCATATGGTAGTTTATAATCATCAGTAATTTCTTTTCCAGGGATCCAATGCCCTCCCTTGATTTCTGAGGGCACCAGGCAGTGGTGTGGTGCACATGTCTATGTGCAGGCAAAAACATTCATATATACAAAACAAATACATCAATCTAAAAACAAATGAACTGGCTGGAGAGATGGCACTGACTGCTCTTCCAGAGGTCGTGAGTTCAATTCTCAGCAACGGCATGGTGGCTCACAATCATCTGCCAGGGATCTGATGCACTCTTCTAGTGTGTGTCTTAAGACAGTGGTAGTGTCTCATATAAGTAAAAATAAATAAAAAAAACAAATGAACAAACAAACAAACCAAAAGCCAAAAGAAATAGTTCAAGGTCATCCTTAGCTGTACACTGTTGCAGGCCAGTCTAGACTCCAAGAGACCCTGTGGGGAAAAAAAAACTGTGAACAAAAAAACTGTGTCTGGCTGTGAACAAAAATAACAATAAACGTGGAAAAAAAAAAGTCTGGAATGAATCTTTGTCCTCAGAGACTGATGGATGAATTGGAATTTCAGTACTGTGATGAGGTTGGAAATTTATAAGTTCACAGGCTAGTTACTTTATCTTGGTCTAGTTTTAGCCTTCAGGAACAGCCAGACATTCCTTGCCCCACTGTGTATCTGTGATTTAAACTGACATGACTGCTCCACGGTGTGAGTAAGAGGAAAGTTTTTATTGTAGAGAGAGAGAACAGCCAGAGGCATCTATAAGAGTTCACAGGAAAGAAAGAAGACTGAAGATGGCCAGGGCTATCTGTGAGAAAGGGGAGAATAGCAGGAGTCAGAGAATAGAGAAAACTGTGAGAGAAGCAGGAGCAGCACATAGGGAAAACAGTGAGGATACCAGGGATATAAGGAGATTGAGTAGCTAGGGAGAGGGAAACTGGGAGCTGGAGGAATTTAGCATTGGGCAGAGGTTAGGATGCTAGCTTTGATTTTGAAATGTGTAACAGGTATGCTGATAGGCACCATAGGTAGGCATATGTCCTTTCTGCCAGAAGTAAGGGAAATAACCCCTTTTGGTAAATGGGGGGGGGGGGGGGGGGCCGCTTCACAAGTTCCTGAGGAATGTTGGCTTTTATTTAAGTGCCAGAAATCCTCCTATAGCCCATGTTGAATTCATTTCTGGATATTCAAACTACCCTTTGGAGTTGGGAATTGGAATTTCAGTACTGAAATTTCCTTTGGATGTGACCATCTGTACTAATGCCTTGTGATAATAATAATAAAGCCTCTTAAAAGCTATTAACATAGCAGACATTAGCTTCTTACTAATCCAAGAGCTGAGAATGTCATCAGATAAGATCTTGGCCCTATAGAATAATCTTCCCTTCCCATCTCAGTGTATCTGTCTTTTGGGTGTACTCATTAATGTATTTTAAGGTTGCCTTGATTCATTTATTGTTTTGTAAAACTATAAATAAATAAATAAATAAATAAATAAATAAATAAATATTTTACGAAGCTGCTTCCACTTGGAACATAGAATTTAGGGTCCTCAAAATCCAAGTTCCTTCGGTCATAGCCATTCAAAATAGCTCCAGAATAAACTCTTATCCCCTTTAAGATAAGAACTGTGGTTTTACTTCACACAGCAACAACAAAACCAAACAAATACACAAACATATTCAAATTCAGACTTCACAAGGTACATGGTGTGTGTTTATACTTCCATCTACTTCAGAGGCAGAGACAGGATGACAGACAACCTAGTGCTGGATCACCTCAGAAACAAAAACGGAACAAAGGAATCCATCTCCCTAGGCCATTTGAGAAAGTTTTACTGTAGGCAGATAGGGCTCATCTTCACTTGGTCATCTTTCTGATTCTAATAAACTCTAAATTTACATTCTTGAACACTGTGAAATACTACAGGAAAGTGGCTTTGTTTTGACTCCCTTTCCATTCCTTTAAAAGTAACATGGAATCATGGTTCGAAATTAGTTTTAATGATACAAAATACGGAAGCATAAGACTGTTATTTTGTATAAGTCCTTAAAGTGTACTTTAAAAAACTGCTCAAATGAGGTCATAGTGACATGAAACAATATTTTTATTCTGAAATTTTTTCATTATATCGTTGTATCACACGTGAAAATTGGAGGCAAAGGAAACTGGAGTCTCAGCAACTTTAATTTTACCTTTCGACTTGTAAGCTGAGAAACACTAAAAAGAACTAGATCCTAGCAGAGGTTGGAAAAAAAGCAAACAGCTGTTGGACCACATGTCACCTTTTAAACTCCAGACAACCTCCGCAGCTGGCACAGCGCATCGGAGCCCCTCCTCCAGAGGCGACGCGTCGTAAACCGCGCCGGGACCGGAAGTGACGCCAAGCCTGCGACGGCAGCGCAGGCCGCTACGGAAGCGGGGTTCTGTTGCTGCAGAGACGACCGGCTGTCGCTGATGATTGTAGCGCGAGGACCATGACGGGGAAGAAGTCTTCCCGGGAGAAGCGGCGCAAGCGGAGTGGGCAGGAGGCAGCCGCGGCGCTCGCGGCTCCGGACCTGGTGCCCGTGTTGAGCGGGAGCGCGGGTGGGTGCGGGAGCGGCGGCTGCTGCGGGGTCGCCGGCAGCGGGACGAGTGTGGCAGGTGGCGCGGAACGAAGCGAGCGCCGAAAGCGGAGGAGCACCGATTCGTCCTCCAGCGTCTCGGGCTCCCTGCAGCAGGTGCGTGCCTCGCCTCGCGCCGCCTCCCGGAGCTGCGGCCCCTCAGAAGAGCCGGGCTGCAGAGCCGCGCGGGCGCGGGTAGAAGCTCATTGTTAGTGCCGGAGTCCCTTGGGCCGCCGGTACTATTCTGAGTCCGTTTGAACCCGTTCCCATGTATTGAACTTCCAACTTTCTGGATTTACTGATCAGTACCCCTTCCCCATTAAACTTTCTCCGTTTCTTTTACTTGTGGGTTTTCCCTATCTCCCTAGAGGATCTGTGGGTCGGGAAGTAGTTACAAATGCTAGTGTAAGCATTGATCATCCTTACTTCTTAAATGGATTCTGATTATTTTCACATTACACACATATTAAAAAAAAAAACCCACACAACAAACTCCCGAGACCCAAGTTCAGGAGTTTTATTCACAGTCACAATCGCAAGAATTTCATAGTTCCTACATTTGAATTCAACATCTGGGACCAAAATGTGTTTCTTATGCATCATCAACCTGCCGGGATACCACTATTTAAAACAATAGTTTGTAACTTACTATAAAAAAGATGAATGTGTTCTTAAAAATCATCGAACACAGAAGTAAAGGCAGGAGTTGAAAGCCCTTCGTACTGCCACTTGGTATGTATACCTTCTGTGGATATATAGTCACTTTTCATTGTTTACTTTCACGGATGTAATTGAGTATTTGCCCGAATCGAATGGGTCTCCTACCATACATGGTGTGTTTTAGGTGTCCCAGTATACTTGTATCTTTATTGCTGAAATTTAGGTTTTCAGTTGTATTGATTTTACATACAATACTTAATGGAACACACTGTTCATAGATCTTGTGCAATAATTACATAGGCTTGGACTTACAGAAGTGAAATTACAGTGTCAAAATATATACATTAAAAAATCGATGAATTCCTCTTTGCATACCGGCAGCATATGCTATATTGGCCAAATGCTTCATGTTCGTGCCACTGGGGGCTTCACAGCACAAATGAACTAAACCCTAGATATGCGAATCCAAACTATTCTCTTAAAATAAAACAGATATATTTGAAATAGAACCAAATGCCTTTAAAGCAAGACTTCACTGATTTATAGTTGAAATAGTATGGATATTCATCTCTGCCAGTCTTCACAAGCATGTTATCTTCCTACCATCCCTCCCCTCCCCTACTCGTGTAGCCTTGGCTAGCCTGGAACTTTCTGTATGTATGTTCCATAGACTGTGTTGGCCTCAGACTTAGCATCTACCCTTCTGCCTCTGGCCTTGGAATGCCAACATCACAGCTGTGCCCCACCCCCATCCCTGTTTTTGTTTGTTTGTTTGTTTGTTTTTTGTTTTTTCTTTTTTAGAGAGCTGTCAGGCTGACAGACCAAGTAATTATTACTTGTTTGTTTTTTTTTGTTTTTGAGTCAGGGCCTCACTGGTCTGGAACTCCAAACAAATTTTTTTTTGCCTGCCTCTGTCTTCTGAGTACTGGGATTATAGGCATGTGCCACCGACACCACACTTGGCTAACATGTTTTAATATGTATTTTCCTGATGAATAGTGGTACTGAACATTTCTACATTTTTATTTACCCTTTGATTCCTTGTGTAGTTGTATAGATTCTTGTTTTCTCTTTTATTCAGTGTTTCACTGAGAAGTCTCATACATATTTCAGTTAAGTGTTAGTTTTAAACTTGTGTAGCATTTACAGCAGATGGTTTAAAGCAGTACTTCTGCTGTCCTCATGCTGCGACTCTAACAGGTCTTCATGTTGTGACCCCTAACCATAAAATTATTTTCCTTGCTACTTCATAACTGTAATATTGCTACTGTTATTGTAAATATCTGTGTTTTCCCATGGTCTTAGGTAACCCTGTGAAAAGGTTATTAGATCACTCCCCCAGGGGTCTTGACCCACAAGTTGAGAACTGCTGGTTTAAAGTGTGTTGGAGAGTTTGATTTTTTTTTTTTTTTTTTTTTGTAGCCAGAGCTGGTATTATTTCTTTTGTTTTCCAGATTTTGTGTTTTGGAAGATTGTAAAATTTATAAAAATTATTCTGTATTTTTTAAATACTTAACACATTATTTCACATTTATTCATTTGATGGTATGCATACCACAATGCATGTGGAGTCAGAGGACAGCTTGAAGGTATTCTTCTAACACATGGGTTCCAAAGGATTGAGCTCTCATGTTAGGATGGTGTCCAGCACCCTCACCTGCTGAGACTTACCTGCACTTGCCAACTCCTTTCCCATACGTTTTATATTTAAAACAGTTTAGTTTTTAAAAATGTATTCACCTTTATTTTATGTGCTTTAATGTTTTGCCTGCATGTGTGTATGTGTAAGAATGTCAGATCTTCGATTTACAGACAGTTGTGAGCTGCCATGTTGGTGCTGGGATTTGAACCCAGGTCCTCTGGTCAATTTCCTTAACCACTGAGCTATCTCTCCAGCCCCTTCTAATACATTTTTAATATTAAAATTATTTATTTATTTATTTTTTAATGTGCATTGGTGTTTTGCCTGCATGTTTGTCTGGGTGAGGGTATCAGGTCTTGGAGTTCCAGATAGTTGTGAGCTGCCATATGAAGAGAGCTCCCGTCCTCTGGAAGAACATCAAGTGCTCTTAACTGCTGAGCCGTCTCTCTAGACTCATACTTTTTAACATTACAACTTTAAATTAGGACTTGTGGATTCAACTACTTGTATGATTTTCTCCTAGCTAGTCACATTATGTGTTATTAGTCATTTTCTGTAATATTTCTGCGCACACTGAAGTTTGAGATTTTTAGCACTTTTTTGTTGTTCATTTTGTATTATCAAAGTCTAGGATAGTGTTAAATAGTAGTTAGGTAATAGGCATTCTCTTCCCATTTTGTTTTTAAAATATGACTCCCTCTTCCCTCCTTCTTCCCTCTTCCCTCCCTTTTCCCTCTCCCCTCCTTCCTCCCTCCTTCCCCTCTCCCTCCTCATCTTTTTCTTTCCTTTCTATATTGAACCCAGGGCTTTGAACCTGTTAGGCAAATGTTCTAGCACTGAACTACACATCCGGCTCCAGTAGGAACAGTAATAGTGTTGTACCAATAAGTGTATTTGTGATAGAATGTGAAGGTAACTTGGCTCAGGTCAAGAAAATTTCTTCAACTCTTGGTTCTATGGATTTAGTTTTCTCTTGTGGCTGCTTGACATGGTGTTGATGTGATTGTATCAGCTAGTTAGTGTAATTATATTGTTTAAGTATTGGTGAGTTAGTTGATAGTAAACTAAATTTGCTGTCTTGGGAAAAGCCCTCTTTGGTCTGTTGGACTTATGTGTTGTATGTAGTAGTCGTACTTTGGAGTAGATACTTTTGTTTATTTTTAGAGACAGGGCCTCTATTTGTGTTCCTGGCTGTCTTGATGTTCAGTATCTAGACAAAGATCTGCCTTCCTCTGCCTCCTGAGTGCTGGGGTACATCATAAGTTAGGTTCGCCTATAGTTTCAGTTTTTGTAGTGAATTGAGTTTATGTATATTTGATAAGTAGTTCATAATTTTTCCTTATATGCTTATCAAGGCTTTTCAGGCTTTTTAAATAGGTTTTTGTTTGTTTTTGTTTCCAGTCAGGGTATCACTGTAAACCCCTGACTATCCTGGAAGTCATTTCATAGGTTAGCCTGGTCTTGAACTCACAGAGACATATATCTGCCTCTCGCTCCCAAGTGCTGGGATTAAAGGTATACACCTTCAAGCCTATCCTAAAAAGAAGTTTTAAGAGTCTGAGATGGCTCAGTGGACTGCACAAACCTTACACCCAAGTTCCATCCTTAAAAGTGTTGGGAAAAGAGAAAATCTACTCTTAAAAGTTGTCCTTCAACCTCTGCATGTGTAAAACTCACACATGAAATACTCACCTAATAACAATAAACTAAATCTTAAATTGAAAAAAGAAAATTATAGATCTTTCCTGCTTTCCCACCCCATTTGGACTTTCAAATTTGTATCTGATAAGCATGTGCACTTGTTAATAGTGTGATGTAGTGTAGTATAGGGGAAGGAAAGAGAAAAGACTGTCTTACACAGAATGTATACAACATGAGACCTAGTCTATAAAATTCATCTTGCTAATAGTAAACAAAACTAAAATCTCATGCTGGATTCGGAGAACCTAGCTCCATGGCTATTATAATCTAGGAAAGGTTATGGCCAGCATTTTGATAGTAGATTTAGAAAGACTGACTAGTTATGGGAGATAGAAGTAAAATTGTCAGACATGCCTTAAATTATTGAAACTACTTGAATCTTTTGATATATGATTTAATCATATGACAGTTTGAAAATGATACCTTGTGGTTGGAATATGGCTTTGTAATTATGGTTTGTAACATTTGCTGCTGTTTTGTTTCTTTATATGAGTTTAAGTAGAATGACAAAGCATTTCTAGCTTTTGAATAAATGACCCATGAAGGAATCTCCTAGTTCTTCAAGTCTAAAATTTTAGGAAGTGGTACATTTGATTTGTGAATTCTGAGATAGGATTTTCTTTTATTACAACTCCTTCAGTTAACTGCAGTGTGGAGAGTAACATTAAAGAGTGATGAAAAACTAGATTTTCTTCTGACTTTAGACAGTTGTGAAAATAAAGAAATTTAGAAGTGCCTAATAAAGAGTGAATAAGTGTCATATGTGCATTCCAAGTGTTTAATGTTATTTAATGATTCTTTATTTCTTTACTTGTAGGAAACCAAGTATCTTTTACCAAGTCTGGAAAAAGAATTATTCTTGGCAGAGCACAGTGATCTTGAAGAAGGTGGACTGGATCTGACTGTCTCATTAAAACCTGTTAGTTTCTATATATCAGACAAAAAAGAAATGCTGCAGCAGTGCTTCTGTATAATAGGAGAAAAGAAGTTACAGAAGATGCTCCCTGATGTGCTGAAGGTACTTTCCTGCATTAGTAGGCTGCACACATGGAGAAACAGAACCTTCATTTGTAGCAGTCATTTCACTGAATGTAGTATGTGATTGGATGTTCTAATCTGAAACAAGTTACTTGAAAGAATTCAAGGAAGAAAATTTAGAGAGCCTTAAGTGATCTTATATATTTAAGCATTTTTTTTTAAAGAAAAAATGTTTAGGCAAGACATTTATTGACCCCATGGAAATAATTCAGTTATTTCCCAGTAGTGGTACTAATTGGAGTTATAAAGAATAGTATGCTACTGTGTAACAAACCACAATAGTTTGTAGTAGCTTATGTTTCATCATGTTGATAGATTTTTTACGTATATATTTCTGGAAACTTAAGGAAAATATGTGATATTCTGGCTTTATGGTTATACAAAGCCCAAACAAGCCTAAGGGCAGATATCTCATATGGTCCTGCCCTGAAGATTTAAATCTTCACAAGATTACACGAGGTAAATAGACTACATCTAAAGCTGTCTGGAAGACTGACTGTTAGTTCAGTGTTTGCTTCTAATAAACATGATCTTATACATCCCTTCAGATCTCTGAAATATTCATGTCAACTGACAGCTTTTCAGATTTTATCCCATAAATTCATGTGAATATTCTTGAGGCTTTTATTTGTTTGATTATAAGATTTTGCTAATTCGAATTTTTTTTTTATAATTGCAGTTTTCCAGTTTATATTGGAGCTATAGTACATAAATGCAATTTTTTTTAAATGTCATTTTCTTTAGAACTGTTCAGTAGAAGAAATTAAAAAACTATGCCAGGAACAATTAGAGCTCCTGTCTGAAAAAAAAATCTTGAAGATTCTTGAGGGTAAGAATGAATATTTCTATATTCTGCAAACTTATTAAGTGGTTCTGTGCATAAATACTGAGGGTTTCTTTCTCTTGCTTGGATGTGACCTTAGTTTCTTTATTGTGGAATCACTGAAGAATATCTTTACTTCTGTCTGTACAGGAAAATATAATTTACATATCAGAATAGAACTTCTAAGAAAACCCCAAATTTGATACATACTTTTTCCTTAACCAATATATAGATGAGTCCATGTTTATATAATAAAATGAAAATTAAAAAAAATTATCAGAAGTACTGTAAAAAAAATCACCAAGAAGTTATATTTTCTTTAAAATAAATAAAACATTTTCTGCTTTATTTTCTTTATAACTTATAATGAGCTATTGCATATTTCTCCTGTTCCTCCAACACCTAGATGCAATGTTAGAATTGTTTGTAACTTTCCAGCACTTATTTCTTCCAAAATAAGATTACTATTTGACACTGATAACTTTTAGAATTTTGAATTTTCAAGTATTTTTTGGTTTGATTTGGAATATTGAGAGGATTTTTTTCATTTGCCTCACTGAAGAAACAAAAAGCAGATATATCGAATTTCCAGAGACTGATTTGTTTTTTTAAATTGTAAATTAGTGGGGTTGGAGAGATTGGTCAGTAGTTAAGATTGGAGTTTGGTTCCCGGCACCAATGTAAGTCCAGCTCCAGGAGATTTGATATTATCTTCTAGCCTCTGTAGGCATCCTCCCCACTGTACACAAACACACACACACACACACACACACACACACACACAAATAAAAATACAATAACTGACTTAATGGAATTTGTAATTCTGGAAAAAATATACATATACACATATATGTATATAGTCTGTTACGCATGTACATATTCTTGTATGTATGTAATAGGTAAAGAGAAAATAATGGAAAAAAATATTTAAAATATAATACTTGAGGCTGGAGAGATGGCTTAGAGGTTAAGAGTACTTGCTGCTCTTCTAGAGTATCTGAGTTTGGTTTCCAGCACCCATATTGAATGGCTTACTGCCATCTGTAATGCCACTTCTGTGCTCTGTGGACTCCTTTAAGTGTTTACACCTATTTACACACAGGTTCACACACACATACACATAAACAAAATCAATCTTAAAAACTAAAAGTAATAGAAAAATATTTTGTAAGTTTTTTTTTTACTTGTATCTTTTTTAACGATGGCAATTTTTATATACTGGTAAAGTAATTTTATGAGTATGTTTTCAGTAGTTCATTTTTTTTTATAAGGTGACAATGGTTTGGACTCTGATATGGAAGAGGAGGCAGATGATGGCTGTAAGGTGGCGCCTGATTTAATCAGTCAGTAAGTTAAAACACAAACACTTTGATTTTCATTTAAATTTTTTTTGCTATTCCTTTGAAGATCCCTGTTTTGAAAAGAAAAGTGTGTGTGTGTCTGTGTGTGTCTGTGTGTGTGTATGTGTGTGTGTGTATGTGTGTGTATGTGTATATATCATGCATGTGTGTGTGTGTGAATATATTGTCACATGTGGGTAAGGGGAGGCCAGAGGAGGACATCAGATTTCCTGGAGCTGGAGTTACATGTGATTGTGAGCCGCCTGAAGTGGATGCTGGGAGCCAAACTTGGATCCTTTGGAAGAACAAGAAATGTTCCTAACTGCTAAGCTGTCTCTCCAGCCCCTTTTTGAAGATTATGATTGTTTTTCTGACTTTGTGTATGTGTGTGTATGTATGAGAACTTTTATATATCCATATATAAAAGTTCATTTGTCCTATTTATTTTTACATGTATGTTTATATGTTTATTGTAAATATGTATAATTAGAATATTTTAATGATAAAAAATACTTAACATTTTGAAAACCATTGCCAATGGGCTATAGCATAATAAATACTACATATTTAAGCTGAAGTCTAAGGAACTGAAACCTAAGAAAAAGATTTTTAAAGTGTAGAGAGGGCATCAAATCTGTGTTACTTGGCTGCCTTGAGAGGGATAGTCTAGTCACATTGTACATCTTGCTTTAAGTCATTTGACAACATAGAAAATGTTCACATTTTAAATAGTTTTAGTAACTTTTCTTTTAAAATACTTAGTGTTAGTCTTTTATGTATTACAGAATTTTTTAGTACTTTTAAATTTCTTCTCCCATATCCGTTTCTCTCTTCCTCTTTCCCCCTTTTCTCCCTTCATCTTCTGTTCCTAACTCGTTTTTTAAAATTTTAATGCCAGGAATTGAACCCAGAGCCTTACATATGCTAGGAATCTCTGTACCACCAAGGTATATTCCTAGCCCTTGATTTCTTTAATTGTTTTATTTCTTGATGTTACTTTTAGAACCTTGAATTAAGCTTTTGCTTGATTACTTTTACTTTCCTTTTATTCAGTTCCCTCCATTTTGAAGGTATTATTAAGGTTAAATTCTTTGCTGTCTTATACCTGAACACTGGTGTTATCTTTTTTTTTTTTTTTTAGTGTGGTAGCCATTTAATGATTGGTAGTTATAAAAGAAACTTAGTTCTCTTTAAAATTACAATAAGAGATTAGAGAGATGGCTCAGTGCTTATAAACACTGGCTGCTCTTCTAGAAGACCTAGGTTTGAATCCTAGCTCCAGGGGATCCAACATCCTTTTCTAACCTCTATTAATACTAGTCATACATGTGGTGCACAGATATGCATGCATGCAAATCACTCATATACATAAAAGGAAACTAAACTCAAAATTGGAAGAAGGGCTAGCTATTGATTTTAGTCTGGTGGTCGAGTACTTGCTTACTATGAACTAGACCTATAGTGTAACCCCTAGAACCAAAACAACATTTAGTACTTTTGAATTATTATAATAGGAAAGTTTTACATAGCTACAAAGCCAGAGTCATAAAGAACCCATTGTGTGATCTAGACAGATAACATAGACTTTTTGTTAAGTGCTATCACATAGACCAAGCAATTGCAAACACAGGCTGAGCACCTCTAACCCAGAAATCTCAAATCCAGGATCTAGAACTTCTTAATTTTTATGGTGGCTCTCAAAAAAGTTTTAATTTCTGGCTTGAGATTTTTAGTTTAGGGGTTTTCAGCAGGTGGCTTGTATATAACTGTTACTTTGTACAGAAGCCTCCAAAGCCTGGAATTCTGATGTTCTGAGCAGTGTGGACAGGGGACACTATACCTGTGTTTTCAAACATTGTCATTGTGCTAGCATCGGAGTTGGAGTTGACAAGGGCCATTATTGAGTTCTTTAATATTTATTACTGGTGAATACCAGCTTTTATTTTCATTGTTTATTTCTTTTATGGCTATTATTCTTAGAGTTATTTTTATTTTCGTATGTGTTTGTGCTTGTGTGAATGCATCTGTCTGCTGTGTGTATGCTATATGTGTATGGGTATCTGTAGAGGCCGGAAGAGGGTGTCAAATGGTTTGGAGGTGGGGTTATAGGCTGCCTGATGTGGGTGCTGGAATCTAAGCTTGGGTCCTCTGATAAAATTTTGTATTTTACACTAGCCCCTTGATTATTCATGATTTATTTTCAGATGGATTCTCATTATTTGACCAGACTGACCCTGAGCTTTAGGATTCAAGAGTTTTGACTTCTGCCTCAGCCTCAGCCTCTTTCTTAAATAGCCAAGTCCCTAGTTCTATGCTACCACATCCAGCTTAGTACATTTAATAGGTCAGTTTATCAGTGATATTGAGGCTCAAAGGCTTTGTGCATGCTAGGCAAATGCTCTGCAGCCCAGCATCCCCCCTTTAGTCAAATTTCCAAGCTACAGTAAACCAAAATTAACACTAATAACTAACATAGACCATTGTGTTGCAACATTGGAACAATCCAGTATTGTTCATGTGTCATCATTCATCCGTTAGCCTTGTATAACAACCTTACAACATACGTAGCATCGTTTTATGTGTGGGAAATGAGGCCAGGTAAATTATAGAAATTATAAAAATGCCTGTGAAAGTTAGTGGCAGAGTTTCTTAAGAAGTAGCTGTAGACTTTTTGATTTATGTTCCTGCCTTGGTAGTTTAGAAATACTTAATCTTCCATAATAGTCATTGCATTCATTTGTAAAGTGAAGATAGCCATTCATAACCATTCATAAGACAAATATTAAATGTGCTAATGTGGCTAACTTTTAATTAAGAATGATGGAGGGCCAGTGAGATCATTCATTGGATAAGGCACTTTCCATCAGATCTTATGACCTGAGTTTAATCTCCAGGTCTTATATATTAGAAAGAGAAAACAACTCTCCAAAACTGTCTTTTTGACCTCCCCACAGGTACTCACCACAACTCTAAACACATAAACACATACCTACAAAAATAAATGCATGTTTTATATATATATATATATGTTGTAAATGAGGGAAATATCTTAGAGTTTAAAGCAAAGGTGTCAGGAAGGGAATGGAAATGTAGAGAACACTGCTGTTAGCTCCCGATGCTGACGTTTCTTTCCTCCTGCTTCAGGAGCAGAATAACCTAAATAAGCAAACCTGCAGAGATAAGAAAGGAAACAGGTTTTCAGACAGAATGCAGGTAGGGCATTTCATTCTCCTTGCTGTTAAACAGTCTGAGGCACAGAGTAAGTATTTTCCTTTTCTCAAAGATTGTAAAAGCAGTTTAATAGGCCTTTGCTGATAGTATCCTTTTGGATGTTACTTTGTGCTTAGAAGGTCAGGGGTAGTGAACTAGTTGGTAGATTCATGTCACCATTTTTTCTGGGCTTCAGTAGAAGAGTCAGCTTGGCATATTTGGTACTTAAACTTCCATGTCTTATGATCTGCTGATAATTCATTTTGATGAGTGCTTGTCATCTGATCAGGCTGCATACAAAGAGAATACTTAGTCATGAGCAGACAAAAAAGGCTGAAAGGAACTTAGTAGCTTCTGTTGAGTACCAAGATAATAGAATACAGGAAAGAAGCTTCAACAAGATAGTGAGACCGCATGAGGCAATAGAGCACAAATGTAATTTTGGAACTAATGGTGTTCTTCATTTCTTTTTTCACTAGGCTAACTGATAAAAAGATTGGTTTGACTGGGAACTGAATCATTCCCCTGAACAGTGAACCTGGACAGATAAATATACATCACTACTGAAAAACCTCAAAAAAAAAAAATGTAACTCACAGTTTTAGGAGACCTGTCATAGATCTACTGGGCAAACAAAAAACTATATTTGAGTTTAAAATTTGCCTTAAGACCCTATAGGAAAAAATAATGAGAAAAGATCTTATAGGGTAAATTATGTCCTGGAGATTTCATTTGTTGAGGTCTTATCCAACAGTGGCTTAGTATGTATCCTTATTTAGAGTTAAAAAGGATCATAAAAGTACAATGAAGTTTTTAGCTGGGTGCTCATCAGATCTCACTGTGTCCTGATAATAAGGGAGTTGAGTACACTGGAAGACATGAGAGACTAATCTTTGTATCCATACATCCATGTCTAAGTAATGACGGGGCTAGCATTGACTAGGGGAACTTATGCATGGTGCTGGGATGTGATTAGGTTAAGGGTTTAAGTCAAGCAGCTCTTGACTGTCTGACTAAAGAGAATGGAGGAAGAGTCAGCTTTTCTCTTGATTCTGAATCTTCCTGTTGTAACTCCTCTTCACCTAATCTAGCAAGAAGCAAGCTGGGAGAGAGAGTGACTTCTGTTGCTAATACCACAAACCCTACTTTAAAGGGAACACTTGGACATGAGAGAGAAACACTTATAATTAGCCTAAGAACTTCCTTCACATTTAAAAGAAATTAAAAAGTAACAAACTAAAAGAACTTTGAGAAAATGAAACAGCAAAGGTAAAAGCTCAAAACTGAAGAGATAGCAAACACACAGAGCTTTAGCCATTCAGGAACTTGGTCTTTGTTCAGGCCACACATAGAGGTCTTTTTGAGTTGAAGGAAATAAATGAAGGACAGTTTTCTTGCAAAATATAAGTAAATCCCCACAGAAGTGGAAAAACATGGAAAGTTGGGTGAAATGTGTTAAAGACACACCAAAACAAGATGGATGCATTCACACTTGAACTGCTTCTCGTATAAATGAACATGTTTAATGTATTTACATCCAATGAAATGTTCTGTAAATGCCAGATAGTCATAGGCAAATATGTCTGTGTTATTATAAATACTATAATACCTAGAAAAAGATGAAAAGATTTTCCATCTACCTTACGATTTCTGCATACTCGTAATATACAAAATCTTGTAAGTAGTACCAGAAAAGTATATAGGAAATTCAGGCCATTTCACTTGTGAATATGTTTGTGAATGTAAACAAATAGAAATATTAGCATGTAGATCCAACAGTGTATCAAGTGAGTAATT